TTTACACACCTCTGGCTCAAGTTCAATCACAGTGTAGTTTAGTGTGTCTTTTAAACATGTTGATCACTTATCATAAGGGGTTGTCTATAAAGTACGTATGCACGAACGGGGGAGGGTGGTTGGTGCTATTACAAGATGTGTACAGAGGGGGAGGGGTGGTTGAAGCCAGTGGGTACCGTGAGCAAACCGAAAAGTTGCCTGTAATGCAACTTTATCGTATCAATACACTTTCTCATTCAAATAAATACCAGAATCAGCTTTTGTGCGTTGAAAGTCAAACACAGTATGTTTATAAAGCAATACCAATATAAAAACGCGTTATTACTTTGCATATTTATTTCAGAATTTAGAAGCGACGTGCGAATAATAGTACAATGTACTGTGACATTTAAGGTACCCTGATAAGTAAAAAGATATGTTGAATGCTTATGCTTACGGGGGCGAGGGGGGAGGGTTGGAGTCACGGTGTACACCATGCGTACAGGGGGAAGGAAGGGTCTACATGGACAGCCCCTAAGCATCTGAACACTGTAGAGCATTTGCATTTAATCCATGAATACATTATAATAGCCCTATATCCAACTGTTTACTCTATGCAGAAATATTTCCTTATCCAGGAAGTTATCCAGGCTGTGCCTAAACAGTACGGCTGTAGTTGGAATATTGATGCATGTACATATGCAAGCAAAAAGGATCCCAAGAGCCACAGGCAAAATCAGTGGTATGAATATACATGTAAAAGAACTGAACGATATTCATGAAAAGAGCTCTGTCGGCCAAACTGGACCTGCTTCGTGTAGATAGGACACATCCTTTAAATTCTGAGATAACTTCCAGTAGGTTGGAGAGGATTGTGCCATCAATCACATATCAACCAACACAAATTTCATTTATTATATATTTTTATGAACAATTTGTGAGATAGAGACAACCCCAAAATGTTTGATTAAAAGGGGTCCTGTAGGCCTGTTTTAACTTAACTTACTTTCACTTTTTGCTTGAATGTTTTCATTAATATTTCATTAAGCAACATAAATGTATATTAAATGTTAACATTTTGGGTGATATGATCAGTAAGTCCAATTGCACTTTCTTTTTGATTGAATTGAGAGCCACTTCTTATAATTCTAGCTGCAGCCAGTTGTTCCTCAGACAGCCTAGGGTATTCTTCCCGTTGTACAACAATTCCTTTTTGATACTCGGGAATTGCAAGTGGCACTTTGAACAATACAGGTACAGTTGAGAAACTTTTGTTCCAGCATCATGCATGATATCTAAAACTCATCTGAGGACTCATAAACACAGATGAGTAATTGCACAATCCATTGAGGGAAGATGGTATGTAATGCTCACGATAATTTAGGGTTTTTTGGCAAAAGCTAGAAACTGCTGGTTATGTAGGTAACTGAATCTGAAGTAACAATATCGAGTGCCCGTTCAAAGAATCAAACGAGCATTGGAGATGCCCTCAATCATGCATGTCAATCTGTGATGTCATACAGTCTAACAAGGCTGCTAATTAAAAATGCTCAAATTTCTAAATACTGAGACCCTTTGCCATGTCGGGCAGTCATAGGTTGTTTTCAGTGAAGAAACCACAACACTCATTTTTCAAGAACGTGCATTAAATTATATCTTTTATCATTCACTGTGTCAATGGGCCCTGAAGCGTATTTTGTAACAGAATGAATGGAACAGTTATTCAGAATGACAATCAAAAAATAATTGCCATTTCTTTTTATGATATGGGGAGTGAGGATTGACCCTTGAGCATGGGTGGATTATTAATGATAAGGCTCTACTCGGCAAGATACGGGACGGAGGGGTGGCCAAACCCTATAGACACTCTAGACTGTTGTTACCTCAAACATCCCCCTAGATGTCTGGAATGAATTCCTGAAATTCCGGTAAAATAATGACCAACACAAAATGGACTTCAAATGGACAGGACTCCTATTAATCAAACCATTCTGGGTATGTGATAAGTCAGTGTAATTTGAGAAGGTTTGACAGCTCTGGGAAAAGTTTTTTTTCCTCACCTGTTGGGCAAAGGTAGCGTATCTCATAGTCCTGGCAGGTGTTGCTCCCTGACTGGTCGCTGTCATAGCAATACAATCCTCTCTGAATGTTGCAGCTGCTGTATAGGACCTGTCCAGCTGTGTAGTAGGGCTCCTGATTGCTTGCAAGGCGACATTCTACTCCCATAGGGGAGTAGCACATCTCATCATATTCCTAGCATGACCAAAATGTAAAAATATTAGAGTGAGGATTTTTGAACTTGGGAACATGATAAATACATAACTTTGTTGATGGTGTGACTAATGATATTTTGTCTTAATGCACCACACACAGGTACACACATATTGAGCAAAGTTAGGGTTAACCTATTTTGTAGGGACCGAAAATGCAGTGAGGACAGAGTACACCCAAGCCTTACCATGCTCAAGAAAATGTACCCTCCACGCAGTAACGACTTGCCCAAATACATGTATGTACTTGTTAGCAACCTATTTCAAAACACATGTTGAAATATAGATGCAATGGAGACCAAAAACTTTTCCTGGAGACATCTGTTGGAAAATCTGTTGTCCCCTTAACAACTTCATGCCGGGGCATTTTTCAATGTTGATAATGCTGGGCCGGCATGACTATCATTTTTTCCATTTTCAAAATTCTTCAAAAATTCATCATTTCATTTAACGGTCATTTATACCCACAAAGTATTCTTTAGGCACTACTCTAAGTTGACAGGTGACCTTCATTGATGCCCGAGTATTTCAGCCAGGCCTGCAGCCTTGTAAAAAGAGCCCAGATTGTGCGGTGTTTTGTAACTTTCTTTTGTTCACGAACCTGGCTCAGTGCACTGCTGACCTCTTTTTAATAGGGGCCAGATGCTGTGTGGCTCATCGCTGCGGTGGTGGAGCGCTTTTGTCCCCAGTGGTAATCCACTCACTCTCAATGCCCCAAACCCTTGTATACAGTTTCAAAACAAGGTGGATTATCACCGCTTTTGAGAGTGAAAAATGTCGGTAATTTCCAACAGCCTGGTCTTTTGTTTGGAGTACTGTCTTTTGTTACAGGGCCCTGTTTCCTTTGTCCGAGTTCGGAGACCCCAGCCACACATATAAACCATACATGTATGTCTCCGATTCCGGAGTCCCCGGCAGGAAGTGGTTAACCTAGGGAAGGCCCACCCAATAGCAGGTATGAGGTATTCAGCGAGTAGGATGTACTTATGATGGGTGTCCTTATGTCCATGACAAGTTTGAATAAGGTTAGACAATGGACAGATGAAATCGGGTCAGGGTAGACTCTCCCGTTTGTGGTAAAAACTGGCTCTTTTGGGGGTACGTGTTGCCTTCAGTTAATGTACAGTATTTCATTGTTCACATGTTACTCCGAAAAAATGGTTATAAAACTAAAATAAATGTCAATCGATGTGTTATTTGTTTGCTTTATTAAGGCTTATTTTTATCTGTGAAAATAAAATCTGATTCCTTAACCACCATTCTTTTCTTTGAAATGTGCAATATCATTCACAACAGCCACCCACGTGATAAGCAGTGTACATGTATGCCATAAGCAAGCAATAAGCACAGCATCGTACCTGCAGGATATGGTGCACAAGCGTATGGTGGATTGATGTGAAATTGCAGTTCAAAAATGTAACAGAGAAACCCCAAACCTCAGGAAATGAAACCCCCTGCCCACCTCAGGTTAGGGAACAGACATGATTTCCAGCGACTGTTTTTAACTGTAGTGGCTACAGCTATAGAGTACCGAAGTCAATACGTCAAGTTCACAATTTGTGTGTAAGAGGCATTAGCGCGAGAACCAGCGTGTGAACCAACAGGCGCACATACTCCATTCGTTTGCATTGCACTTTCTGGTTCACAGTGACGACACATTTCAGTACTCTATGGAATACGTAATGCAACTTCTATATTGTACAATAAACACTGCCAGTGTTTGGGATTCTGTGAAGCCACAGAAGACTTAAGTAGCTCATTCAATACATTCGCAGTTCATCAAGTTCGTCAACCTGTCTTGTGCCTGGTTTTTTCAATTCGATGATATGCTTACTTGCAATTCTTTTTTATGGGGGGGGGAGTTTTGGTACATTCACATACTTCGAGGATTTTTTCAAATGGCAATAAAATCTGACATGCATTTTTACAGGCTGGTCTGGTCCCCGTTTACAATGTGCCGATTGGTGCAACAGAAGAAGACAGAAACCAGTCTAAACCATAACTACGTATTGCCACAGTGTTTTAATAATTAGTAGCGTGGGAGTTAGAAATGCTGAAGCATACTCAAGGGTAAAGTCAAAGTACTATAAAACTGACCGCTAAAATGGTGCCTCTTGCTTCAATATCTTGTCCTGTGGTATCGTCACTGTTAAACCAGGATGTCCATTCCAATCCTTGACATGAAGAGACAAGCAATGCAGAAAATTGCTACAATAAGAAAACTGCACACAACTTTTCAGATTTGTCTATAAAGGTGGTCAGATTGGTGTGGCGATATTTTCCTTGCTAAATATTTCGATTCCAAACATTCCCGACTTGCCAACTGCATTAACCATGTCCTAAACATGTTGAATATGAAACACAGAGTCTGAAGTAGTCTCAGTTTGCAGGTAGAAGGATATGAGTCTGACACGAAGAAACAATCACAAACAAAACAAAGCAATGTGTACAACTTTTATGAATTTGCAGCACACTAGTAGATGTTGGAAACTCGCTGATGCTATGATGTATCAACTGCACACGAACTTACCTTCGAGAAATGTGCAAGTTGTTGACATATATACAAAATATTAAGGAAACAGGCTTTTAATCCATATTCATAAACACCTGGGACAGTTTTTCTATTCCTATTGGTTGAAATGCGTCATGTGCTCGTGTATTGACATTCGATACTGCCCGTTGAGAAGTGGTAATGCCCGCTGCGTAAATTATGAGCTGGCACCTAAATATGAGACAGTTTAATCGAATCTGATTGGTCAGGAGTCAGTGTGCGTGCGACGTCCCACATGTGCACAAAAATAATTTAAAAAGATTCTATTGGACAACTTTTAAAAGGAATACACCATTAATGGACAGGGGTGTTCAGGAAAATGAAATTTTGGAACAAAATCAGTTGTTTAATCCTGAACAATTATGAACAATGGAAGTACATGTGAATATATGATTGTCATAAAACAGACGGCAAAACAACAAATAATTAAATTTTGTTAGGTAATCAAGTAAATTATGCCAAGAAAAGAGATATCATCATGATGAGTGGCAGAAAGAGTTTTTTCATAACAATCGACATTTAATTCAAATGTAAAAGTAAGTCATATACATAATACAGAATGAGCTGAAGATGTAAAAAAGATGTTGAACACCTAAGAATATACTGGTGCAACTTAAAATGGGAGAGATTCAGAATAATTGATATAATCTAGTTTTTTTTTTTAACAAAAGTACAGAGATGACAGCAGGACATACCAACACAATCCCAGGTGAAGTTGACAAAGAGTGGAAAGCCTTCACACTTGGGGTATGATACGTCAGACTCGGCAAACATAGCTTCGCTGATGTAAGCCGTGCACTGACGTTTGTTGTCGCACTGTCTCTGCATACGGTACATCACAGTGTCTGAGTCATACTCACAATCTGAAAAGAATGCCAAAAGGCATTGGTGTGACAGTGAATAGAAACAATTCACATTACAGTGTGCCTGCAAGAGGTTGACTTGGAGGGGCCACTTGTTACAACCCAATATGGACAATTACTTTAAGCAATAGTTCAGCTTTGTCACTTCCCATTAAAGAGTCCAGCATTCTAATCCAGCGGCAGCAGAGTATTAAATGGGAACCTGTGAGGATAGACTACAGATGTGATGTGCGGTGATACAGACTGACCCAAGTGGTTTTGTGGCCTGATCGAAAAAAAGCACATAATTATGACAACACCTTGTGCAATGGTATGGCTGCATATTTATCATGAACTTTACAAATACATGTACAGACCATACATGTAAGTATGTGTTATCTTTGCACTATCAGTATTTTTTACAAGGACTAGGCATTTATTAGTTTCATTATTTGAACAAATGCGATTGAAGCAAGCGCACACTTTGCCAAATTTTTCTCAACTTGACTAAAGAACTTTAAGATTTTATATTTCCATCAATTGCTGGTGTTTCCTCTCAGACTTGCTGGATACAAGAATTGAACATATTCACAGGGGTTAAAATTGTTTAGTAAATTTGTTTCACAAGAATTCAAAACATAGCATTTCTATAGTTGCATAGGCAATTTACAGCCATGGCTAAGTAATTTGGACTTTGCAAAACGAAGATATGTTTGGAGATCATACAATTGACTGCATAATGTGGACGGTGACTAACAGGGTGCAAAATTATAAGTTCCAACCCACAAATATTTTATTTTATGAGGGATATGTGGACATACTTGCTTTTCTCAACACAATTTTCCTGGTGTTAAAATTGTAAAAGAGAAATCCAGATGGCCTTAAACAAGAAAGTGGATGGGGATATTTATTATGATTTTTTTCATGTCATCATATCCCCAAATTAGTCTCTAATTTTAATTGTCAAAATCATTATTCTTGTCAGCAAATATGTGACCGGCTCTAGCAAAACCCAACACTTGGGGTGAAAATTCAAAATTGGAGTTTGTGATTACTGTAATGTATGTATAAACAACAGGCTTTCCTTTGATGTGTGTTTGAGGAAGTTTGGATAAAATCTGGCAAAGATATGGAATTTGAAATTGAAGTTGAAATGGAATTTTTTAATGTTGCAGAACCATACTGTGTAGTGGAAACTAGTAAGCAGTGGGTTTTGCCAGAGCTGGTCACATAGATCAACTGGGTCAAGTGTTTCACATACCAGTAGGGTAGAAATCATCGTAGATGATGCACTTTTCGTTGTGCGCCCTGCCATAGGAAGCACTAGTAATCTTGATGTATTCTCCTTCTGGGCACTGAAACTCCAAGATTTGGTCATCACACTTGATACTTCCTCCAAGAAATATCGGTAAACCTGCTCAGAGAAGAATGAATGAGAGCTTGTCAGAAAAAAAAATCAAAAGATTTCAATACCTCAGGATTAGTTTGTGAGCATGCGCTCTCCTTCAGTACATTTATGCTGAATTCTCCAAGTTTCTTTGAGGGATTTATGGAGGAAATTACACATCTAATTTCCCCAGTTGGGAGAGTAAAGTTTCATCTATCTAGCTACACTGTATATGTGGATCGGGTAAAAGAGTATGGTGAAGTTCCCCCAAAGCCCTTCAAGTGGATGATTTCAACAATCTGCAGAAAATGTCCCTCAACATACTGTACATGTATATACCTTCATCAAGAAAAAGGTACCAAGATAAACTGTTTCAGCATCCAAAATGGAGGTGGAGAAAAGATAAATTGAAAATGATTTACCGATTACATAGCCCTGAACCAATATTTGTAATATATACTGAATGACATGCATATTATAATTGTAATCCCAAGTTGTAACCAAAAACGTGCTTGATTAAAACTGGTTTATGCAATCATTCAAACTCTGTCTAATTCGAACAAGAAAGTTAACATGATATAAGCAGTGATTTCTCATCATGTTATCATGATCACTTTCTTGCTTGGCAATTTGCTTTGTTTTCTCTCTTCACAAACTGCCTACACTTCTCCCTGCATACCTTTGTGATTGTAGAATGACTTGCGGTTGGATCCATAAACATTCTGCGCCACACACGTGTAAAAGCCACGATCATCTCCCATTGGATGAAACCGGACCTCAGAGATCATGTGATAATCATCCTCCTGGTAGGTGACGATGGTCGCATTGATGCCCCCTGTGTATTGGTAACCATCACGCTCCCAGCGCATTGTAGGCAAGGGGATACCAAATGCACGGCACTGGATTGTACCATTGTATTCATAGTGAAGCTTGGTGACATTCACAACCTCCAAAACCTCTGGTTTGTCATCTGGCAAATGGCAAAAACATAAGCATGACAAAAAGTTAACTTTGGAAATATCTATCTCAAAATCAATAAAATGACATTCTTTTAAGACTCAGTGAAATAGTCTTAACATTGACACGTCTCACAATGTTTACTACAAATGTTTAACATTATCTACAGAAAAGTATCGTTGATAAAGATTCTGGAAAACATGCTTCGTAGAGCAAATTTAAACCCCAAACTCTGAATGCAATATTATTTCTTGTTGCTATATTTTTACTGCTTGAAGCCACTGCCATCTCTCATCTTGCATGCACCAATATTGAAGTATCATTATTAATTTCATCCCAGTAGGTATGGTGGCTTTGAAGGGACATCGTTATTCATTCCAGATCATGAGCATCGACTTGAATGTGTCAAAATTACATGTCTTCCTGTCTGTTCAGAAATACATCAATATTCACATAAAAAATAACGTACTTCTCTTTGGTTAAGAATATTGACATAAGTATTTGTATCATGTTTTGACTTTTGCTGCTGGTCGCAAATATTTAATTTTGAATTTTAACTCAGCAAGTTAGGCCGTCCGAATCGAGATAATGTGTCACATGATGTACTCTCTTAAAATGCATTTCAAAAAGAACAAGTGTGTACTACATGCGTATTAAAGATTCATTTCCAACAAGTGTGCCTCGATGGATGAAACCACGCACACTATGCCTCACTGAGATACAGACTGATTCATAAATTTTGAAAGATTTAGAGTACAGGACGCAGCCACAAGAGAATAAAAGGCTCAATAACACAAGGACAATGAGACTAGATTTAACAGACTTCCAAATTTCATGTGACTCAAGAAAACAAAGATGGAATAGCACAATATCCAAACCACTGCCCTAAACTACATCAATCCAGTCTGAACTGATACTAATTACCTTGTAAGTAACATCCATAGACCTCCAATCTCAGTGCAATTTCACTAGTCCAGTTGAGTGGTACCAGACGCAGGTAGCGAGCAAACATGAAATGGTCAAAGTACTGGTAGGCCACTGAGGTGCTGTCATTATTGGCTTGGAAAATCTGGAAAAAGCAACAGTAATAAAAATCTATTTATATAAGTTGATAAATTGGACAGAGAACCACACCTTTGATTTTTACCATCCTCTTGGTAAGTTATCCACACTCTCCCATTGGTGGTGACATTCACAGTGTAAACCAATCAACACTGCTGAGTCCAGTAAGCCGCACCTACTCTAGCTGACTCAATCAACACCACTCCTTACTTTGTCTATGCCATCCTCTTGGTAAGTCATCCACACACTCCCATTGGCTGTGTCATTCATGGTGTAATCCAATCGATACTGCTCAATCCAGAAGTTGTACTTCGGGTGCCCCTGTGTAGCGATCTTCTTGACCCGCATGACCCGCTCAAAGTCAATCTGGAAGAACTGGTCCCTATCCCGCTCCATGGCGACCCAGGCACCATAGGGGGCGTGGAGGCGGGCATCCCATTTAAAGGAGTCCAGCGTGGCAAGCAGCTTAGTGCTTGAGACCTCCAGTTGGTCATTGCCAATGGTCTTGTCCATCAGGCCAAATGTTAACATGCAATCTAAATGATAAATGTTAAAGGCAACGTCAATTGAAACAAGGGAGCGTTGAAGGATAGTAGAATTCCCATGGACAAATGAGACAAGCTGGCATACATGCCGAGTCAAAAATAAGGCAGCCAATCTGTTTTACACGTATCGGACTAATTAAAAAAAAGCCTGGGCATAAGTGTTATTTTGTTTCAATTTAAAATGAAGCAGCTGAAAATTAATTTAGATCCCGAAATGTCTATGATGATGTGCTTGAATGCTAATTCTTCTTTCACTATTTGGGGGACAAAACTGGTGACACCAGGGTGGGTTTAGGCGCAGCTGAAAAAGGGATGGCACACAGAGTATCAGATACCACCGGGGACAAAAGCGCTCCAGGGATAAGTGATACAATACCGCTGCATGCTAATCTGGTCTGCATTTGAAAAGATGGCAGCAGTGCACTGGGCCAGTTTCGGGAACAAAAGAAACATACATAACACCGCACAATCTGGGCTCTCTTTACAAGGCAGCAGGCCTGTAGTACTTGGGTGTCAATAGATGTTGTCTGTCAGATCAGAGTAGCCACGTCCAGTAATGAAGTTATGAATTTTTGATGAATTTCGAAAACGGAAAATCTTGAAAATCCCCCCTGGAATACGTCATGCAACTTCAAATTAAACCTGGCAGCATATGGTTAAAGACTATAAGCAGTTGCTGAAACTGATGCTAATTATTACTGGGAACTCGCCTTTATCAAAGGCAACTAGTTCAAAACTGGATTTGTAGTACCCACATATACATATTTTGCCATTGTCATTTTTATGATTGACTTGAGCATCCAAATAGAGGAACTATTTTGCATAGACCTTGTTGGCAAATGTAAGCGTTCTGGTTCCCGCAAGAAGCATCCTCCCACTTGTAGTTTTTGTCGCCTCTCAGCTCGATGCAACGCTCTCCCAAAACGGACACGTAGTTGGAGTTGAAATCGGTGAATGCGTGTCTGGTTCCATCACGCCATCTGCACGTGTTGTTGTCTGTCTGGACACAGCCGATCCAGTAGTTGGTGCTGACAGAGTAGTCTGATAGGAGGCCCTCAAGGAAACCCTGCAGATAGCATGAAAAAATATTGTCATCTCTTCAAATGTTTAAAAATCCTTCAAATGTTACCAAGGTCAAAAACAAGAACTCATTTTGCTTGATGATATCACATTTCCCAATAGTGCAAGGATATGCAGTCCCTGTACAAGTATTCCTCAGTGGAGACAAAGACAGAAAGATGTTACAGACTCTTGATTGTAGTTTCTGCCATGCTCCTAGGGTCTACTTGAAGATGCTGTAATTTTGTGTACATTCAGATGAAAACATGTCACGCATTGTACAGGTTCAAACCAGATGCCTGCATGCGATAGCATGTAGTTAGCCTTCATGGATCCTGGTCAATGAGAGTTGACTATGTGTGGTACCCAGGATCATCGGCTGATGTAAAAAGTCTATCTTCACAGCAAATATCACTCTGAATCCAAGCTTTTAAAACAAAGATGTAACAGGAAATATACTACAAATACTGCACAAATGACTTAAGAGTTAACATTTGGGGCTTTTTGAATTCGTTACAATAAATTTAGCCCATTTCCGGGCCAACAATCATCACTATGAAATAACCCTGGCACTGAGTAGTTAATAACAACACACAAGCTCACCTGTGTATTTGACCCAGGGACGCCAGCCAGATGACCGTGCTGCTGGTTACACTGGTCATCAGCATCTTCAAACTTCAAAGAGGCATTGGGGAAGGCTCGGATACACCGGTAGTCGTGCTTCAGCCATCCGCTCTCACACTCTCCCTGGTATTCATCTGAGAACAAGAGATTACAATGAGAACATTGCTACTAGCTGAAACCATATCAGACCATCATTTATCTAAGATTGCTTCACCGATTTGTGATAAATGATCATATGAGCATTTTAGTTTATTTAAACATTTCATGGATGATCACTTAAAGAGGGTAACATTTAGCTTTAAATTTACTTTCTTAACAACGAACATAGCAAAAGCATACCATAGCATAGCACTGCATTAAAATAAATCAAACAGATAATTTGCACCCTAGCACCATCTCTAAATTTGCAGAATCAAAATGAATCCTAAGTGAGACGAAGTACATCGTGACAAAGTCCTGCCAAAGGACACAAACACTGATACTGAAACTTTCAATCTGTGGGAACTTTGAAGTTGCCTCACCACACTAAGGGGGTAGGACATATGATATAACACAGTGTCACAGAAATATTTCTGCACAATTAGTACATAAGATAATTAGTGCGTTGAATGTTTGTGTTGGATCCATTCAAATTAGAGTGCTTTAGGATGGAGTCGTAGAAGTGATTTGTCGCACTTACAAACATCTGGGATGATAACTTCGTTTGACACGCAGGTGTAGTTGACATCAAGATACTTGGCAACATCCACACATGGGTCTGAGCCAAATGACGCCACCTCTACTGCGATCTTACACTCATGGTGGCCTTCACAATAGGTGCGGACGGTCTGGAGTCCAGACAAGGACGTGCAGTTGGTTGGCACATCATGGTCTGGTCCTGGACATACCGAATTGTCCATGGTGCGGCCGTACATGGCTTGCACGATGTGGAGAACCTGGTCTTCTGCAGGGCAGCTCACATATAAGAAATCATCTTCACAAGCCCGAGCATACTGGATGTCATCTAATGATAGCAGAAAATTCAAAACATTTTTGATTTGATTGATGAATTTTATATGCTTTGGTAGAAGCATGAATACATGAGAAAAGTATAAACAACAACACATATGGGGAAAGTACTAAAAATAAGAGGTAACTGAATTACACTGAATGAAATTCAAAGAAAGTACAGGAAATACTAAATGTTACTGAACAGCACTACAAGAATAGATATGGAGGCATTTTCTGCAAGCCAGTGGGATGGAAAATGCCTTATTGGAAATAAACAGAAAAGGACAGTTGCAGTGTATTAACAGGAAAAAATATCGCGTAGTTGGCCATGACACAGAGATAAATAAAATAAAACGACAGTTACAAACACATACAGACAACTATTTTGATTATAGAATGGCTTAAACCAGATAAGCAACAGATGAACTGAATAAATAATACTTAGTTCATAGAAGAGATATGTACTAAATCACACCTCGACATTGTGACCACCGTACTGGTTAATTGCATAAACAATAACTCAAAAGTGACGAGTAAATCTGCATCAAAATATAGAACAAATCTTAGTAGCACTGCCAGTCACTTTATAAAAATGGATTTGTATTTAGAATTTCACATAAAGGAGGTTGTAACAACATTTGTGATTAGATTTGAAGCTTTTCATGGTGGAGGCAGCAAGTAAACTAGATAGGTTTGTGGTAGCACCGTGGATATATCTCTTTTTGAGTATGTGGGGTTCTGAAAAGAACCGGTGGCACTCAACATTTCAGACAGTATGCTCTCTCTGTCATCTCTCTGTCATCATTTGTGATACAATCAAGTAACTGAGTCCTTTGTCAACCCAGGCCAATTTACTGACTTCAAAAGGTATACAACGCTGACTTCACTTCTTTGCAAAACCCATCCTTGAAACAACATTTAGATCAACAGTTGCGGAAATCAAAATATGAAAAGATGTGATTTTGAATATTACAATTGTCCTGTGGCACTGATGTAGTAAAACAGTCTGTCTTCTCTTAAGACTCTTTACGCTGATTTGGCAAAATTTACCACAAAAAAATAATTTCCTCAACATAACTTAACATACTTAATGAATTCTTTTTACCAGATCCTACAAGAGTACATACCACCTGTGATATCCTGCATTTTTATCTGAAGTTTGTAAAACCTAACTCAGAACATCTCAACTGTACCACTAAAGGGCAAATGACCAAACAAAATGAGAGTACATGTACCTTGAACACACTCATATGTGGCACTGAGGTAGAGGTGAACACCAGTCTCAGAGCATGGATAGTCAAGCACCGACACGTCGGCTAGCCCACCACACCGTGTGGTGTTGTCGCAGGCACTCTCGACAACATCCTGACCCGTGTCTGACGTGCAGGGCAGAATCCCAGTTGAGAAGCTGCCCTCTTGTGGGCAGGTTTGCCAATCCGCAGTACGCCCCCACAGGACATCGGTGACATTGACTTTGTGGGTGTCTGGGCAGGCAAGGAGCCAGTCGTTTTCCCCGCAGATGGTGTATGTTGTAGATGCTGTTTATAACATGACAAGAATCATTTATGATAAATTGACTGGAAAAATGTAACATTGTTTTGACTATGCATAGACCAACAGCATGCTGCTGCTACTAGGGCCCCTGTAATGTTTTTTTTTACCACAACCCTCTTGAAACTACACTCTCATATTTCAATAAACATTACTATCAATTTTGCTATTTTATAGCTCAGGTTGGTGCCTTTTTGGTTTTTATATGGAAGCAAATTTCCATATTCATGAACCAAAGTTTGATGTCACCGCAGGGAGAAAACTTCACAATTGCCCTGATTTGTGCACAAAAACTGCTGGAAAGTTTAGTTTAAGCTTTCTTATCTTTCGTGATTAAATTTTCAGTAAAACCAAAACAGTTGCACTTTTCATGCTGATTTGCTCAAAATGGCCTAGTACCAGATTCACTTCACAGCCCACTAAGGAAACACTTACCCCTTTCATATTCACATGCAAAGTTTCTGAGGTCATCACAATCCACTGAAACCCAACGTCCATCTTTCTTCTTGGAGAGTGCTGTGCACTTGTCAAACACATTGTATGACGGTTCATTGACCCCCCAGGCTGAGTAAGCAAAGAATGTCCCATCACTCCAGACAAAGGTCTCAAAGTCATCTCTCCTGTTGAGATCAATCAAGAAGTCTCTCTCTTCGTAGGCTCGTGGGAAGTTCTCCAGAAATTCTTGCTCTCGGAGAGAGTTGACGACAACGAGATGGCCACCTGGGTACATTTTCGCAAATAAAAATTGGCACAGAAGAGAAGGAAAACTCATCAGAGAGTGTGGAAACTACAATCTAATTTACGTTAAATGCATCTGTATTTCACATTTTAAAGATGGACATGAGCATACTCGTATATATGTAAATGTATGTGTGGAAATAATGTCTGTCAGCCTGTGAAGTTAAGTTCTTTTAATGTATGTTTGACTCAATCATGCATGGTTTCAGCAGAGGGCTTTTTTTCTGTAAATTCCACTCAGAGGTACCCATTAACAGTTACAAAGAGAGAGGTATGATGCTTAATTTACACCACTGCTGCCACAGGAAGGCACTATGTGGGTCTGTGCACATTCAGATGAAAATTGGTTATGCATCTGATCACTATCACATACAAAAGCTTATGTGCCATTGTATGAACACTGCACCATCTTCAAGTTCTACCCTCACTCAGTCACAGACTATTTCAATTACGAAAGTTTATATTAAGTATCAACCCCAAATATCTGCTGAATATCCACCATGCTAAGATATGTATGGATGTCTATGAAATGAACAGAATGTAATATTAACTAAGTTGGAGGATCATGACTCTCTTTAGACTACTCACCTTCACTCTCACACAAACTCTTGGCTGATAACCAGCTCCTTGTGTCATTCCGGTAGAACTTGTAGCAAGAATTCTCAAATGCTGACCAGCCACTCTTGCAGATGGAAGCCACTGGAAGGAACAGAGTAGAAGAGACAGAGCTTGTGATAGTCATTTTTTGGAGATGGCCCAGGAACAAATTAGCTCTAATCCTCCCAAACTGATTGCAGCATGGCCAACCTCCCTACCCAGTTATAAACAGATAATGATTAATTAGTTCATGGTAATTACAGTAAGACTGTTCTAGAAAAGCTGGAATAGCCTAGTTATGCTGAATGCTTCAGAGGGAAGAGTAAAATGCTACAGTATTGACTACGAGTGACCATTATGTATCTGTGACTGTCTGTCAGCTTCAGCCTGTCAACAGCAGTCTGTATGGTCTCTAGACTGAGACTCCAGACAGTAGTTTGTCAGTGTGCATAGTTTGGGCAAGCATCTGCAATATTTCATACTGAACCCAATGAGCATTAATGCAGCCCTTTGCTTCCTTGATATACAAGCAATTCTGCTTAGACTAAGATTCCTTACAAAAATTGAAACTGAAATCTAAGGCCAGCAGCTTTGGCATTTCCCATAGATGTGTGTGTTATTTCAAACTGTATAGAGGCAAGTACATGTACTTTGGACAAAGCATTAGACTATAGTGTAGGTAACTACCTGCAGCACTGCATCCATATAGCTCAAGCCTCAGGCCAACTGACTCAGTCGTGCTGACCTCTGATTGGATGCGGAGGTAGCGGAGAGTCAAGGGTCGAATGTCAGTGTCTCCATCAGCGGTCAATTCAGTGAGGGTCACATCGATGCTATCAACTGGGCCAGACAAAATCTAGAACAAAGACAGACAAATTCCATTACAAAGTACATTTTAATGCCAATTGTTTAAGCAATTTTTTAAATACTCTTTGAGAGGTTTAAAGAGGTTATTATTACTGTTATTTATTCAAACTTTGGACAGTCACACATCTTGAACAAAAGGAAATTCCCGTGTCAAAGCTCCCGCAAATGAGATTCTTGATAGTGGTCTGGTTTTTGCATGGATTTATACCTGTGTCTCATTGCTGTTCATTTTCCGCATGGGATTCCAGATGACACTGTCCTCACTGTAGTGCAGGCTGAATTGGCTCATTCCTACGCCCCCCTCTGGCAAGGCAACACCCTGAAGGGCAAGCCCTGTCAGGGTTATCCGCTCACCAAAGTCCACCATCAACCACTGGTCCAATGAGCTAACCAGGCTGCCTGGCTCTGACACCCAGCCGTTGAGCCCTGACTCTGCACTCTCTGGGTTGTGCAGGTGGCCATAGCGTGGGTGGTACTTGGTCATGTTGCTGGTCTGGTCAGTGTCATTACTCAATGTGAAATTGAGAATCGACGATGCGGTGATGCGGTCCATGTCAAAAGCATAATTGGTGATCCCAAAGGTGTCAAAGCAAACTATAAAACAAATTTACAGAGACACAAAAACTCACTTCAATGCGTTCTTGATCGAGTAATACCATAACATATTTCAGCCCAGTTTCTGAACAGGGTCATTTCTCTGTAAAAGCCTCGTTTGTTATCAGTGATGAGCAGTCAGATTTGCTGACATTGTGCAATAGCATTTCTCCTGCAATCAAACTTTGGTGACAAAAGTGCCCTCAACTGTGCATGCACAGATACAAATGGAATTGAAACACAAATAGAAACTGAACCGGCCAGACAGAAGGCTGAATAACTGTATCCGGTGACCACGGGCATAGTCTTCCAAAGGCTGTCGATTTAAATTCCTCAACTTGACTTCTTTCTTACTAAAAAAGTCTTTACATATTGCAGTTCACCCCTGATTGCTTGCAAACTGCTGGATCCTAAATCAATTGAATGATAGGTCCCCAATGGCTATTATCCAGGTTGAAGAACTGAGCAAGTTTGAGCACAGGTCAGCTACTTCTCAGCAATACACACATGTAACACGTTCCTGCTAAAATAAATTGTTTTGAAAATCTCATCATCATGCACATTTTGCCATAGGTTGTATTTTTTGCTTTCATGGTTAATGACATCTTCTATAGTTTTAATTCTGTCAATAGATACCTTTGTAACCACACTGTGAAAAAAAGCTTTGATAACCAATGATGTCTGGTAACAAACTGTAATTTCTAGGTCAATCACTTAGGTGAAATTGGTTGAATGACAGGTAACATTTTAGTCATTACTTCAACTGCCAATTGCGGATAGTGCCAGCATTGTAATCTCTTGCTTTATGAAACAGCCACAAAAGACAAAATTTCATTTTTATTAAAACTCGAATGATGCATCGCAAGTCATAATAAACAAAATTGACGTATGGCCATTCTGAACGTATGAAATAACATTAACTAATTAAGAAGGCATGCAACAAAAAATAAGCTAACACCTTCTGACGAACTCTTTCAACAAAGACATTCAAATTTAGTTGGTAACTTTGGGCTGAATTACTTGTTGTCAGGAAGCTGGTACACTGTTCTGTATCTCACATATTGAATCTTGCTCTTATCAACATCTTTGTTAAACCTCCCTCAACATTTAAAAAATATGGCAAAAACTTACCAGAGGTTGATGGAGCTTCGTCGGCTGTATTTGAGGATGCACAGCCATAGATTCTAACTTCATTGGACAGACCATTGTTGACCTCAGTGGGTACCAGGCGCAAGTAGACTGCATCAATCACATTGGCCAAGGGGTTGGTGATATAATAGTCGCTGTCAGAATTACCAATAAACACCTGGGAATGAAAGAACAGTTGCATGACTTATGCGGATTCTAGATGGTGCTGGGATTTTGACGAATAACTCATCATAATGTAAGCCTGTGTCAAGTAGTCAAACACTCATATGCTTGGATCAAGAGCAAGATTGAGAGTTACCGATGATGGCCCAAAGCTGAAGGTAAGGGAAAATTTCAACGTCCATTCTCCTGAGACAGTCGTAAACATTAGTTAATATGGGACAAGCACAATTTTTATTCCCAATTTAAAAATACCTTCTGAGTCAGAAAGGAAAATCAAGTTAAAAAATGACAGATTTCCAACAATTTTGATCAACAATGTTACTTCATTTCTTTCAAACACGTGTCTTTGCCATGTTGGTGCTTTGTCAACCATTTAAGGCTGGTCATGAGATGGGCTCTCAACCAATAGGAATGGCTGAACCGTCTTACATATTTATGAATAAATTTCTAAATATTTATCTTTATTCAATTATTTGTAGGTACCATACAACACATCATGTGCTACAGCTTTGCTGAACTTTAAATAATTCCTCACTGAGAAAAGAGAATAATTATTATAAGCGTAATGATAATAATTTATTTTGTGTTTTAATAAACATCGTTTTCTTAGATGGCTTAGTTTATGGAAAATTTGTTGTACCATTGAATATTTTTATGTCATTTCAGGTCAAAAATTCAACTATTCAAATGTTTGATCTGACTCATGCCTTTCTCATCATCTGGTATTGAGGCTTTGACAGCAATTCGGTCATGAATTTCAAGCAGCTGACTGAAAGGACCACTATTGTGGATTTGTGATCTTTTTACTATCAAGACCTAAAATCTGCAGACAATTTTATGGATCTACTGCACTACGATTGTGTTGGCAGGGATCTTGTGGCTTACACAGCAGAAAGCAATGGTCCTACTGCACTACGATTGTGTTGGCAGGGATCTTGTGGCTTACACAGCAGAAAGCAATGGTCCTACTGCACTACGATTGTGTTGGCAGGGATCTTGTGGCTTACACAGCAGAAAGAAATGGTCCTAGCTGAGAGTATTTAGGAGCCTTTTATCAAACAAACCACTTAAAAATTAAATGTAAAGATGTACAAAGAAACTGGTTAGAGCAGGATTTGAACCTGGGACCTCTGAAACACTGTACTGGTGCTCTACCAGCCCCACGTTGGTGGCTCTTCCCATTTGTCAAAGTCTCCTGACTAGCAGCCTATAGAGCACCAATACAGTACGTATTCCAGGAGGTTGCAGGTTCACATTCTGGGAGGTTGCAGGTTCACATCCCCCAATTTCTTAGTTCACCTTTATAATAGGAGAATTTTAGTAAGTTCTTAGTGCTAAATACAATCATAAATCAAACTTCCGTAATTAATGAAACATTTAAGCAAAATCTTCTTCTGATGTTAGTGTGATGTTTGCTGTGCTTATCATGCGTGACTGTAGGATTTCTAGAAGGGATTGATGGTGTTGCTGTAGAGAGACCGCAAGCAATCAAGCAACAGATGGAAACCTGCATGGTGCTGCTTTTCAATAAAGTGTACTATATTTTCATTTTAGTAACAAGTACAACAGTTCACTTGGTCAGATAGTGGGATGATAAGCCAAAGCATAGAGCCAAAGCTCAGAATCCTCACTTGCTAAAAATGAGCAGAAAATCATGTGCTTAGAGAACGGTTCATGATTGGTGCAATTGAAGATACAGATGCAAATTTGCCACCTAATGGAAATTAGCCTTATTGGGAATTTAGAAATGTTGAAGACTTTCCAGCATTCAGCAAATGAGCCCCCTTTACTGTCAAAAGTTGCACTGCTTTTATAGTGTTTACATACACACAGTGTGAGCTGGGATTTAGGAAAAAAGCTTCAACTCACCCTGGGTTGGCCGTCCTCCACATACAATGCCCAGTCCACGTTGTTCTGGCTGAAATACAGCTGGTACCTAAGCAGCCAATTATTGTCTTTACCTTTGGTACTGATCATGGTCACAGTCTGCAGTGAGACGAGATTGATCTCCAGATAGTCTGGTGACCCAGACTCTGTTGAGACGGAACTGATTAGTTCACCACTGCTGCTACTGCAAGCTGGAGATTGGAAGATACGTATTCATAATTCAAAATCCATTTAAAATTCATCTTGGTCATAAAGGGATGCCGAGTGAGTAGATCAAGGCACTTGTTGAGACAGGTTAAGTGGCGGAGAGCAATTTCACAAAAAAGCAACATCAGAAGGACCATCGTGAGACTTAAAATGCCCAGTTGTATAACATTGTTTGTGACAATGATGGGTTCTATAATCAATTTCTTTCAAGATATATGTTGTATCATATTACTTTGTGAAAAGGAGCAAACAATCTTTTGGTTTTCCCTCGCCGAACAACATACCACCCATTCGCTGGTTTCTAAATCATGCAATAAAAGAGAAGACTACACTGTCAGACAGGAAACCTGACTCACAAAAAGAAAAACACACATTTTAACACAACTTCTTTCTTCAGATAAAACCCTTCTTCTGCAACAGTTATGGCATTTTATTCATGATTCCTAAATACCTCAGACTGTTTCCCTATTCAACAATGTGCAACTTGACGGTGCATTAACATTTGATAATGCCCGGTGAGAAATGATGATGCCTGCTGCATAAATCATGCGCTGGCACATGGATACGAGACAGTTTAATCGATTCTGATTGGTCAAGAGTGTGTGTGCACATGGCTTGCCATACCCATGCCAATTGGACAATTTGCACAAGGAATATTCCATAAAATGGGCGGGGGGTTGGAAAATGAAAGTAAAATTCTAGAACAAAATCACTGGAAATCCATCATATATTGACTTCTTTTGACTCTCTGACTAAAAAGGTATTTATGAATGGAAATAAATATGTGCTTGGCCAGTCTTATTAAACTAACGTTTAAGACCAGGGGCCAATTTCATAGCGCTACTTAAGCACAAAATTTGCTTAAGCATGAAAAAAACTTGCTTGACAAATCAGGTTACCAGCCAAAACTCCATGTGATGCATATTGTTTTGGAATGGCATTCACCTGTCTTTTGGTTAGTATGGAAATCACATAGATTTTGAGCTGGTAACCTTTCTTTTTTAAGGAAGTTTTTTGCACTAAAGCAAATTTGTGCTTAAGCAGCTCTATGAAATTGGCCCCTGCTTAGGAGACTGAACCCTGATAAGTTGCGTCCATTGTCCTGAGCTGGTCTTAAATTCTCATTTAAGACCGGCCAAGCACATATTTCTTCCTTTATTGATAGTCTCACTGCTTTTGCTTCTCTTACATAAAAATGTAAGAAAAAAATGATTCTGAAAAGACTCCTTTTATGAGGTGACACAAAGGTCATTGTAGGTTATGATGTATTGCCAGGAAAGTTCCACACATCAAACTAGCATAGGTTTCTTGAAATCACTGGCAGCAGTCTCTGTAAGGCAAGGCCCCCCATTTTCCTGTTTGTGTTCATGTTCCTCCTGTCCTGCGTGCACTACTTGTATTTCTGCAACAGGGCCATGCGATCAGTTGTGGACAGAACAGCACTTTGACAGCATTCCCTGAACAATTAAGCCTCATCGTGATAATGAGTTGCATTTCATCATTTCAGTTGAAATGAATTGCCGTGCTTTGTGAAGTCAACTCAAGCCCTCATGCTTTGGGTCAGATGATTGGTGATAAAATGATGCATGGCCCAAGTCAACTGATGACCTTTGGCATCCTACGGGTTCTTCCATTTACCTGTAGGGTTGTACATCCCATACAGTTCAGTCCGCAGGCAGGGGGCATCGTTCCATGCGTGAGGAAACAGGCGAACAGACACCACATCACTCACAGAGGGCTCCAACTCTGTCTTCACAATGCCATTCTTGTCAATGTTGCCATAAAATATCTAAAGGTAATGATCATTTTTAAAAAGTTCACTGTGGGCACTTAAACTCTGATATGCTACGAATAAAATACAAGTGTATGAAAAGGATCTGAATTTGGATTCAACTGGAATGAAAGTGAGTTCAAGTTTTATTTTAGAGGCAATTCAATATCAATTTCACAACCACAACTGATAATATTTCAAATATGAAATAAACTTTTTGAAAAGCAACAGATTTGCAAAACTCATGGAATCAGGAGAAAAGAAACAATCCACATCAGCTAAGAGAGGAATTTGAACCTGGGTCACAGAACCCCAGAACTGAGAGGTGAAAAATGTGCCACTCCACCAACCTGACTTATTTTTGCCACTATGTCAGTCTCCAACTCAACCTTCACTTCAACAGAGCCATGCAGTTCATATATAAAGCAACTGACTCACACACCTTTGCATCCCCAGTGGAGTCCTCATAGATATTCCATGTCTCTCCATCTGTACTGTAGGACATGTTGTAGTACGTGACCCACTGGTCCTCTGTCTCCATCCCCTGAACAGCAACCATGGTCAACAGGGCTGGAGTACTTAAGTCAATCTGCAGCATATGGGGACCAGTGGTGTTCACTGGTTCCCAACACAGCTGACCTGAAAATATCAACATGGAATTGTGTGTGCTTATATTAATAAGGGGATAAAAGTGAGATGGGGCCGTTTTCAACTAAAGTAAACTCTGGATAACTCAAACCTCAAGGAAATTGATATACATTTGAGTTATTTGAATTTTGAGCCAATGAAAGTTCCTGAGTCTTGCCCACACATACACCACACAGTGCACAAGTAACCCTACTTGCCCCTGTGGTGGCTATTGAAGAAGTTATAAGTGGTTACTTCCTTATATCAAAGAATAAGTTTCTTCTAAAATCATCACTTTGCTGAGATTTCATGTTTTCTTAGGTAAAAGTTTTGATTCTACTGATTAATTAAACATAAACCACCAAAAGTGTGTACTTCTTTGAGACAATTCTTTCATTCGGTGTACTCTGCGGGCGCGACGCGCACAGCTTGCTCTCTCGTTTGGCGGGGCAAGGCCACAGCATCATTCCTTTTTAATCGCTTGAGGGCATGCCATTTTGCATTTCAACACATTCAGGTGTTAAAACAAATTTTAAAAAAATTTGTGTGTTTTGTTTGTCTTTTCATTCCTTTACTTTTCCTTTTTACCTACCCTTTTAAAAACAATTCAAGTGAGATTCGGCAACACATAAAGCACATTTCCAGCACCACCACGGGAATGCATGTCCATTGTGTCTACACACGGGCTGTGATTGGACAGTCAGCATGTGTATGAGTGGTGCGGAAGTGCTGCAATTGGGCAGGCAGCAGCAGCCAGGCTCTATCCACGGCACGCACAAAGCTTGCTTCAGTATGGTGACATGATCACCATAAAGAGTCAACAACTGGACTGCAAGTGTCCACACTACATTCGGGCACTGATAGCAATCAGACTTGCTTGAAAGCCAGGATTTGTTTAGGCTATGTCGTGAGGAGTCGATTACAATGGCACTGGCAGCAAGCACGCTTGTGTCCTAAGGCAAAAAGACAAAGTGCGGTTTCCAGAAATGACTCATAACTAAGTCTCACGTTTTTTTCCACTGATTTGGCGGCAGTCTTTTTGGATCGGCCCTTCAAAAACTTCAAGTTAAGTGGATGTAGTGATGTTGGCATTTTCAGTTATAGAGGTATTTTTGTACATAAGAGTCTATTCTTTTGGCAGAAATGAAGAATGCCTTTAAGATAAGCGGGGTTTCAAGTTAACTGACTTTGAGTTATTGAGCGTTTATTGCATATTTAACACCGTTAGAGGCTTAGGGATGATAATGCTCCAAGCTGAATACCAAAATCTCCTCTCACGGAAAAGTGGAAGAGAGCACAGCTGAACCAGTATGAAGTGAAATGTTGATTCTCTGAAATGCTGACTCATGATTTGTATCACACATACCGGTACCAACATAACAATGAGTATTGTCAGGTAAAAGTTTTCGCCTTGATGAAGATAGAGTCAACATTTTCACAAGAAATTAAGAAAGCATTCAAGACCAGGTGGTACCAGTTAAGAACCATCCAAGTTGACTCAAGACCCATGGGAACAGGCAAATTGTCCGAGGTTTTTTATAAATAATGATTTTTATTAAAAAAAACTCATTTGAAATTAAAAACGGTTTTCCAAAGGCACTCTGTGATTGTGCTTGGATCCGTCGATCTTTCGGATTCGGAACTGGAAAAATTTTTTTTTTTAATTTTGAGAAGTCTTGGATCTGCCGACCAACAATTTATCAATATAAGTGTACAATTTGTTTCATATTTATGCTACACTGCCCGGCCGATGGTGAAGTCCCTGATCCTTAGCTGCTAGTGATAGTCGTAAGAGGACTGCTAATTTTTTTAAATTTTTCTCTCCAACTTCAAGACCCTTATTTGTTTTTCTTGAGACATGGAAACTACATTTTTTGGGGGGGGGTCTTTTCTGTCCTCTAAAATTTGTCTTAAAAAAAATCTGAGCATCACCTTCTAAAAAACCCTCTCCTTAAATATCATACAGTTCTACGTAATGTGGCCTATACATTATACATTTTCATCATACCGTTAGTCGTCCCAATCATCAGTCGGGCATGTCTTGGTTGATTGTCTGTTGGCGATTTGACGGATGTTGCCGTGATCTGCTCATCCTTGATACGCCCATCAACCATCCCCAGGGTTTCATAGTTGTCTGTCAATAAAAAAAGAGGCCTTTCTTTTTGGAAGCAATACCATGGGTAATTAATGACATTATTATATACATACTTGTAGTTGGGTTACCAGTTTCAGCTAAAGCTATCAGGTAGGAATATTTGCCAGATGTCCAGGAAAAAAGGTCTCTGACCTTAACAAATGTGCAGGTGAATCTATGCCTTAGGGACACAAGTGAGCAGTAGTATATTTTTACATTAAATTTCAATTATATGTAGGAAAAGTTTGGAGACTTTGCATCACTACACGAACATCTGTAACTGCAAAAAATCAGAATTGTCTTGATTTCAACCACAGTTTAAAAATAGTTGTAAAGACTGCAAGTGGAAGAAAATGGACAGTGAATTAAATTGTATATAACAACCTGTAAAAATAGAACTGAACTTATCCATCTTTGGGATCATTCATAGTCTGCAATCTAGTCTTTTTACATCTTTCCAGTCACAGTGTCTTAAGAAAAAACAGGTATTTGTGACAAAGTACACATATATGTATGGTGGTAGTGTTTTATCTCACTCAAATCAGCCTACATTGGACTTATAATTTTGATACCTCATACCAAGCTGAATTACGTTTCTTCATATATTTACGCTTGCTATTGAACAAATTACAAGCTGTATGCAGAGGCACAATATTTCAAAAAGTGAAGGTCCAAGGTTAGAATAATAACTTGGCACAATATGGTACAACAGCCTAGATGGTGGCTGTCTGCAGCTGTTGAGTATGAAAACCGACAATCCTGGACAAATCTCGTTGGGCCTTCAACCCCCAGACCACCCCTTTCAATGTTGGGTCTATGCGCGAGGTCTGCGCTCCGGCTGGACATGACAATTGACCGGGGGAGTGGGATGAGGGGTTGGAGAGTGTATGGCTATAACCAAGTGTCCCGACAATTTTGTCCAGGATTTAGACTAACACCCACCTCCGCAGCTGTTAGACGGATCGCATGTCTGGAACTCCTCGGTGTAATCTGGGTTAGGGCAATCGCTTCCGTTGTACTGGGGCTTGGGGTCAGTGCAGGTGCGTGTACGGTGCTTCAAACCCTGGTCCCCACAGCTCACCGTGCAAGGGATGTTAGCCCATGCAGTCCATGAAGTAAAACCACCATCAACTGTGTGGTATAAAAATGAGATTTCAAATTTAAGAAAGGTACAGTTGACATGTAATTACAGTAAGCTGCTTCAATTTCCAAAGTATTACATCTATGTTCGTTACATATTTACATCGAACAGAAAAAGAGATGGAGTTGTTTCACAACGCACACAAGTGCGACTAATTTTCTGTTGAAATGCACAGTGCTTCCAGGAACGGTCATGTGACACGTTGCACTTCTATTTCACCAAGTGAATTTGATATTTCATGGATGGAGTTAAGTAGAATGTAACACCACCATTAATTGTAAGGCACTACTGTTCTTTTTGCTTTTTAACAGTGATACAATTAAAATTCATGTAAAAACCAAAACACAATCCTATATGGAGGATGCATCTTGGCCTAGTAAACAGAGATAATAATGCAATGTAGTACCTTGGGCACTGGTAATTATTTATTATTATTAGCTTGCCGAGATGCGCGCACCTCAGAGTTTATGAATTTGCACAGGAGTGGTGTACCAGTGCTGCATCTTCTTAGATTACTCTCCTGAAACCAACTCCATCTTAGGACGAATGAAATCACTTTGGGACAGATCCTGACTGTTAACCACTTAAGCACAATCACATGTATTTCTTACTTGGACAGGGATGAGTGTTACAGTCTCTTGACTGTGTTGAATCATCAGTAGCTGGGCAGTCATCCCCACCGTACTTGGGTGCAGGATCACTGCAAGATCGCTGGCGTGTTTCTGTTGATCCTGCACACGTGACGGAGCAAGTCGTCCATGATGACCACTGGCTCCACTGACCGCCAACTGTTGGTAATGATACAACCAACATGCAGTCATTAACTTAGGAATCCTACTGGCCAGGGGGGGTATCCAGGTCAATGCCCCACAACTTACACCGTGCAAAATAACATGTGTGTTTGGGTGGATGGTGTGACTAACTGGTGAGCAAAGCACTCGCATTCTTATACCCAGTAACCATGGCCGGAGTTCGACTCAAACCTAGCACTCAGGCCTTAAGTGAGTAGAATTGTTCACTCATTCTCTCCTGTGAGGGTTTTTCTCCAGGTAATTTGTTTTCTCCTCAATAAAAATCAACACTTTTGATTGCTTGCATAGGTTGATAAGCAGCTCAATAAGGTGCATTAGCGATGCCTTCAACTCAACCATGTTCCATCAGCCTTTAAGCTGTTAGTATGATTAGCCCCAATCATCAATAACAAAGTAACATGGCAGATGAGATTTGAAGCTTTTCATGCTGGAGGTAGCAAGTAAACTAGATTGCGGTAGCACCATGGATTTATCTCTTTTTTGAGTATGTGGGGTTTTGAAAAGAACCGGTAGTACTCAATGTTTTGGACAGTACGCTCTGTCTGTTGTCTGATGGTTCTACTGCAAACCTATCTAGCTAACATGGCAGCCTTATACACTGTAACTTCCTTGAAATGTGTCATAATATGTGAGACAACTTGAAGTTTGGAACAGGCTGCTATGCACATGAACTTACTTGGGTTGTATCTGCCGTACAGTTCCACCCTCATAGCAATGGCTTCGTTCCACGTGACAGGGTAGAAACGAACATAGTTGGTCTCATTGACTGGATTGGCTAGGCTCGACACGACTTCTGTGCCTGCATCATAACTTCCTTGAAAAACCTGTGGAAAGGAGAAAAAATCAGTCAGAATCGAAAAGCAAACTGTCGCAGGGTTCAGACTTGATATGATCGGGTTGAATTTTCCCATAGAGGATTTTTTCTTGTCCACAGAGGCTAGTCCATTGTTCAATTCTGTCCTTGGTGGAATGTAGTTAGTGAGCTTTACTGTCTATGGGAAAGTGCGAAATTTAGAATTGACGGAAAACACAACACTTTTTCTTCTGGGAAGTGGTAAACACCACTATATGAACACACCAGTGCTCTATTCACAAGCAAAGTAAGACAATATTAATTTGGGAGGGGTGTGGTCGCAGGAACACTTCCAGACATCACCAGGCTGTCTCAAAACAACTACATATGACTGTGATGGTGGTAAGGTAGGGTAGTGGTGAAGAACTGGACACTACTTGATGCTAGGGGCACTACACATCTTGCTGAATATGGAGGATCATGACTGATCTATGGCCGATTGCATTGCTTTTTAAAATGCTGACAATACACTGCTGAAGCTGTTAAACACCAGTCAGTAATAAAGATGGTCACTGACTTAGGACATCAGTTAGGTATTTGTCGTGGTAATTTCCTTGTGGTGGGCGGTATTTGAAGCACAAATCTATGGCAGATGATTCTGTGGCAATCGAATTATAATGAAGTGTGAAAACCTCTGTTGGATTGGAAGTTATAGCATGCAAAACACCTGCCTGAAAAATTCTGCACTCCCTGAAATATGAGAAAATTTGAAGTGTTTATACTAACTGTGACTACCCACAAATGTGAAAGGAATATTGGATGTGTATCCATGTACAAATTCAGTTGAAAAAAATGAACACAGATGTCTACGTGCACAGCTGAAAACTGGGGGTTGAGTGTGGGTGAGGGAATCTGTCCCTCAAAAGGCAGAACAAATCCAGTTTTTTAAGGATTATTCATTATAAGATTATAATGAATACTTATTAAGATCTTTCATCAATCTCTTGAGAGCGAGCCTCGATTTCAACTGACCTTGACTCCACCTGACTCTGTGTAGTCCATCCAGTCTGATCCATTCAGGCTTGTAGAGAGAGTGTATGTGGTCACCCATTGGTCATTCTGGCCAGAGCCAGATGGTGATCGTCCCTCCACTGCCACTCGACGTAGCGTAATGGTGTCTGGCAACTCAATCTGAATATAATCACCTGAAAATAATAAAAATAAAAACACAGAAATCTTGATCCATCTTGAAGGCCAATAATAAGAACATGATACGAAGCAAAACAACAATGACCATTTGAAAATACTGAACAAACTAACTTCCTCAAAACAAAGGCAAACACAAAAAATAGTGAAAAACCCAGAGCTAAGATCGATCACCCTTCACCTTAGCTGGCAAGGAAAACAACAGGTGGACAATCTGTAATTCTAGGGGCATTATTTTCCAAGCATTGACCGTTTTAATCACTTCACCAGAGAGACCAAGTACATTATAATACCTCATCATCCCCATCATCACGTCAAAGTATTTGGCACTTGGTATCTGAAGCATCTGTCAGTCAACAGTGCTGATATATATAATTATCGCTGCACATTGGGCTCATAATATTTGAACATGTTAATAAGATCTGGCCATCTCTATGTGTATATGCACAGGTACTGGTAATGCTGACAGATTCGACTGCTACGCACGTCTTCCATCACCTCTGACAATGTTGGAAATGCTAATTCATGTGTGTATACATTTTTTATGCATATTAAGGCAGGACGTTTTTTTGTCTTCTCAAAGACTTGGTAAAATAATATTTTTTGTGCACTGTGAACACTGTTTTGAGCTGAAGTTTTGCTGATGTTTTCCTTGACTGTTCCTCTTCCTTTCGGTACATTAACTCTAACTTAAAAATGCCTTTTAAAAATTTTTTTCCCATAAAGGGGTCAATCCTGTGGGGACCTTGCTTTTCATGGTGGAGTTTACAGCAAAAGCTAGCATTCTTTCTACCTGTATCAGGAGTAGCCGGTACCCATGCATGATCGGCGTTGTTATCATTCAGCCTGGCATAGCTCCCTGCATAGCTGCTGCCTGTGCCCTCTGACACTGTAATCATGGAATCCGCGATGGTACCATCCTCCATGCCTAAAGCATAGTTATCAGTGTCTGGTGAAAGAAAAAATCTCTAGCAATCAAACTCTCTAATAAGGGAATAAATATGTGCTTGGACGGTCAGACCAGCTCAGGGGAATGCAGCATTTTCAAATATCCTTATATAGCAACTGGTGCACACAGGGTTAAGGCTTTGTGCAGTGGTGCAGAATGCAATAATCCAGCTAGTGCATAGTGCATTATCACTCGATTCACATTGGCCACTTAATTGGTTTTCGACCAACAGCAATGGCCGAACTGTCTCGGGTACATACAAATAATGCATAAATCAAGCAGAAAATTGGCACAACTGCAAATACAAAAAAGTGCTAAAAATGAATTGGAGGTAATGTTGAGATATCTAAAAAGATATTGATGTAGCTGATGTTCAAAACTGCTCCGTAAATGTACAACAGGAAATGTGATAAGCCATTTCTCCTTTAGCAAAGTTGCCTCCTACCATTGATGGATCAGGGGGCCACCATTTTTTAGACACTATTCTAATTCTTCTCCTTCTTAAAGCTTGTAAAAACCCCAAATATAGCTACACCCTTCATAAAGGCCATAAAAGAGGTATTAAGAACTTTCTACATTTTGGCCCCCCACCTGTTGGCTCTGGACTTGTCCTTAATTTGCCTCCTACCTGAGCAGCTGCTGGGACCATTGCAGCTCACCCACTGCTCATTGATCCCTGTGCAGTTGGCTCCCCCGTACTGTGGTGTGGGGTTATCACAGTAACGTTCCTGCATCAGTGTACCAGAGGAGCCACAGTCCACTGTACAGTCTGTTGCATCCTCCCAAGTGCTGTAGCCACCATCAACTAGAAGAGATTACAATACTGAAAATGAAATCACTCCAGTAACATAATTTTACATGTAAAGAGTTCAAATGGCCTTCGATTGCCCATTCCAATGTAAATCACTGCAAAGTGTACAATTTATGTTGTTAAGGCAATTGGCACCGTGCACACTTGTAAAGTATCAGAGTTAAGTACATTCAAGTGTAGAAAAGTTCATGAGCAAGGCTGGCTCTGCACCTGTTCATCTTGATAGTGGATGACCAACTCACAACTTATAACAAGAACAAATACAGATGGTCGAGCACAGACACATGCACCCACAGATTTGCTGCAGTAGAACGTGAATCGTGACATGGTATTTGCTACAACAGGCTGCAAAGAGGTATTTGTTACAGTTGGCCCTGATGAAGGGGTATTTCTACAACAAACTGTGAAGAGGGATTTGCTTCAACAGGCTGTAAAACAGTATTTGCAACAACAGGCTGTAAAGGGGTAATGACCTGCTTTCGCAGATTTCTTGAAGTCTGTGTTTGTGCAAACAAATGAGGACTTAAGGGAATTCATGTCCTTCAATTCAGCAGTGCTCCCTGTGTGTACAAAACTGGTTCAATGACAGCACTTCTCACGGGGGGGGAGTAGAAATGTTTTTTAAACAGTTTTATGTTTAAAACTGGCTAAGGGCATGGGAATGATAACGTTTGTATCAAGCTGAAGGTCCTGCCTCTAGTTGGTTTAAAATCAATCTATTTCACTGTTATTCTGATTCAAAGATCCGAAATTTCATACAAAATTGAGAAAATGTTTAAAGGTTTAAAGTGCATATATTTTAGAGGTATTTTTAATAGAGAAACACTAACTCTAATTTAGTATCATGGAAGTGCCCGGTTGGGATTTTCAATTTCATGATCCAGCAACCAGGAGAGGTAAAAATTACTTTGTCTAAGGTTGGAAAAATACCTTTCACAAAACATCACAATACAAGGTGCATTAATATATTACTACACATTAGCTGTTCTATTTTCTTTGTGCCAAAAAATCAACCATTTCATACTCCAATCATAAATCATTTTTATGTGTGGCAACGCATGTGGAACCCAGAATCTGTATTTCTAAAGGATATGATGAGATATGCACATCTTCCCTTTTTATTGCGTTGCCAAACAATGATTTATAAATTTGCAAATTAAACATCAACAGTATCCATGACAATTTATTATATTGATGTAGGTAATGACATATATTGAATAGAGAGACATATAATTGTGAGTATTTTTATTGTAAGGAAGGGCATTGTGCATAGTCTGTATTATACAGGATCACAGGGGATGTACAGAAGAAATTCTCCAGATTTCATCTCTTGACACCAGCAGGCAAACATCTGAAAATGATGCTGCCTAAAGGTTTCATCTTTGGCTTGATGAACCTTTGTCTTATGACCAGATGCACTGGTGGTAATGAGAGGTGTGTAGCCTCCATTAGAGGGGCGTGTCCTCCTGCTTGGAGACAGTGGGGTGACAAATGCTACAAAAAACACCCAGTGAAACTACCCTGGGCTGAGGCCAAAGAGGAGTGCATCAAGATGGGAAGTGTCTTGGTCATGCCACAGTCTCAGGAGGAAACTGAGTTCCTTCTGCAGAATCTGCACCACTACTTCTGGATCAACTGCAACGATCTTCAAGTTGAAGGTTTGTCAAAGTCCACAAGCATGTCTCACTGATTCCTCAGTTTATTTCCAGCTATGAGGAAATTTAGTTACTCAGCGCCTTTGTTTAATATTTAACTGTTAAGAAAACTTTTCCTGAAATAGGAAAAAAAATACTTTAAAGCAAGATTTCAAAAGCAAAATTATCAAACAGATATTGTCATTTTTTGTGAATAGTTGATTTTTTTAACACATAAAACAGTGACTACTTAGAAATCACTGCTCGTCAACAAGTTATACGTTCTGCTTACCTGCATGACAAACACAATAACCTTATGATCAGTCAGTTGTGTACTTTAATTTGCGCGTGGCCATTAATGGAAAGATACACAATCCAAATCTCTTGGTCACATAAGAAATGTCTGAAAATGACTCCTAACTTCATCATATGTACATGAAGTGGGGTCTGTCCACACTAATGCATACATTTGCACGTAACCAAAATCACCTCTTTCTTTAACACTGTTGAGAGTCAAGAAATGAGGATTAACAATTTACTAATATTTGTGTAATTGTAGAGGTATAGTTTACACAGTTGTACGGGATTTAGTTGTTCAAATAATCAGGATTTTGATGAAAGTGTCCAGCTTAGTTTAGGGGTTCTGGTGGGACATGCACATAACTGTGTCAATTCATGTTTCTAAAATATTACTCTCATGAAAAACAATTCATCTGTTAATACCTGGGTGCCACAATTATAACATTTGAGAAATGTGTCAAAATCTCTGGCCTTTTATTAATTCACGTTACATTAAATCAGAATTTAAGGAGAGCTAATTAAGGAATAACGTACGTCACGGTGTCTGTCCACAGAGTGACAAACATGAAACAGGATGATTCTGCCATTCCTTGAGCAGATAACTTCAACCAAAAAATTATATCTTCCTGAGAAAAGTTTTAATAATAATAGTTAACATCATCTTTGTGTTTTTTTTCTATCAGTCAACCAAACTAAGATTTGTTTTGAGGAATTGCAAACGTCTGTCTACTATTTTGTTCAGTTTGTTACAACTATTTTTTCTTTTAAATGTGAAATCTTAGAAGACTTATCTTATTGGTACATGTACATATACATTTATTACTAAACCAAATTAAATAAAATAACAAAACGTTCATTCGAAAAATTCAGTTCATTTTGTTGAAATGAAAGTGAAGACTGTCTGTCCCCAGGTTATAATACGTGATAAACATTTCATCTGTCCACTCATTCAAAAAAAAATCCATAGTTTGCATTTTAAACTGAAGTGTAATAGTCTTTTTAAGAAATGATTTTGAACACTTAAAACAAACAAATTTGGTTTGTGAACAATTCTGTTTTCTTGCTCCAATTCAAATACCAGAAAAATGTCTGTCCATGTGACAAACATTACATTTTATTCATGAAATGAATTTCAGTGCTATACATGTACACACTGGAATTTTTTTCCTTAGATAATGAAAGTTTCTAAAAGTAAACTAAAATGGACATCTAATATATTGCAGGTAATTATCAATGGTGTTTTTAATTTAATTTTCATTTTTAAGAAACAAAGTGTCTGTCCATGTGACAAACATTTTATCTTCAAAAATAAACTTCTGAAACTTGTTGAATACTCCTCAATTTATATATAGCTTTGTGTGGTAACAATCAGAAACAGTGAAGATAAGCAAAAATTGTACAGTTGGCAAGTTGTATTCAGAGTCACGTAAATGTATCTTATAGGTGGACGGACCCAGTTGCAATTTGATTAAAAATGATATGACAACTTAATCAACTGTATGGAAAGCACCAATCAGGACTGATGAAAATTGGTTGCAAGTTCACATTATACAACAAGTCCAAAGAATTAATGAATTCAAAGATCAAAGAACGAAGGTGTTCTGATACGATGTTCTCACTAATTTGGGGAAAAGTTGATACAAGCATTGTGTCTGTTACATGTAGGTTCATGGGAATGTCAAGATGGTAATACTAAAGTGGAGTACAGAAACTGGAGAGCTGGGGAACCTAATAACTCAGGAAATCAGGAAGACTGTGCTGCGACAAACAAGGATGGTTGGAATGATGTACCATGTAGGGGTCTCTCTCCTGTCATCTGCAAACAACCTGCACCACAGCTGCACTTTTAGACCTGGCTGATATCTACAATTAAAATATTTCATTAAAGGCCTTTCCTCCAACGACTATGTGTATGGCACTACTGTGGTGGCACACTACTTATGGGACTGCACATTGCCAAGTCAAAACATCCTACTGATGGTCAAATAAGCATGTACAAGTCAAACACATGTATAAAAATACCCGCAGGCAAGTGTGGTACCACCGCAGTAATGCTTCTAGCTCTAGTTGCTGGACTTACATGTGTCGCTGGCGTCGGGAAATTTATCATTTGACATGATTTAAGGACATATTAGAAGGCTTTGTCAAGATTTGGTTTTCATGCTACTGTTATAATGCTGAAAAAAAAAGATCTAGA